TGTGTGTATGTTTAACAATGATGATGTGTGTGTGTGTGTGTATGTGTGTGTGTGTGGGGGGGGTGTGTGTATGTCCTCAGAGCAATAACTCGTGAGTTTGGGAGAACTTGAGAGACCTATGGCGTGGGTGTTGTCCATAGCCACCTGCTGATAAGGCCGACAAGATAGAAGTCTTTGTGCATTGTATTAAGTCCAAAGGCCCCAACACAAGATGGGTTATGCACAAGATTTTAGTCAGACCAAGCTATAACATAATATATTTACCACGACATAAGCGTCCAACGTTATGGTGCTCCGGTTAAAGCGGCAGGATCAGGATACATTGACAAGCGGGGAAGAGGCAGGAAACATCTCTGCTGAGCCGCTGCTTCACACACATCCCTCCCCTCCAATGACACAGGCAGGATCAGGCAGAAACGTCATGAGTGAGTGGTGTTGAGGTCCAGAGGTGTGTGTGTGTGTGTGTGTGTGTGTGTGTGTTTTGAGAGTGTGTTTGTTAAGGCTATAGTTATTTACTGAGTCATGTGAGTGACAGGAGCAGTAGGCGCGCACATTGACACGTTTTTACCAGTTGTAGTTAGGCTATTTATATTGTCAATATGGAGGCACCTATTTCCAACCCTTTTTCCATAAAACATTAATACTCTAGAACTGATGCACATCAAGAAATAATGGAGACAAAGCACTGGAAAACGACTTTGGGCGCACTAGAGCTCAATCTATAAATCCACTCCGAGATGGTTTAAACCGCATTCCCCTCGTGTACACTAGCGCAATAGCTCAAAAGACCGCCTCCCATTGGTTGCCGAGCGCTGGGCGATGACCAATCATATCGAGTGGTTGGTTCCCATGACGACTTGGACGCTATTCGACCCAAGGCGGAGACTTTCTTCATCAAAGATGGCGGACAGAAATACTAGCTAGGATGGAAGCAAATGTTAGTCAATATAACGTCGTAACGAATCATGCAAAAAAATGTACATTTGAGAGGAATATGTTAGTTAATGTAGAGACAAACGATTATGCATAGTTTTTTGTCATGAAGTTAATTTACGAAAATCGCGATTTAGCAAGCTAGCTGACTAGGTAACATTAGCCAGCTAGCTTTATGGACGTTGTGACATGAGTATGTAATTCTGGTTGTTTCATGTTTTAGGGACTCCTGAGGAAACCAGCAAACCAGGCTGTCGTCTTGGGAAACAGTGGATTTAAAGAATCTAGCTAGATAAAGCATTTACTGCAAATTGAATGTACAATTTTATTGCTTATTGTGCAGTGGGGGATAAATATACCTGTATGTCTATGGATGTGTAGCTAGCTATGTAGCTGATCTGTGAATGGACCCTAAAACGTTTGGTATAAATATTAGTTCAGAACCTAGCTATGAACCTCAGCTATCATAGCCGGTTGGATCGACTTCAAAACAGCAAATGGCATCAATGAAGTCTATGGATTAAGTAGAATATAACATTACTTTATTGTGCCAAGGATGCAAGTCGTATATACATGTAGTTATTACCAAGCATGAGATCCCCACATTGTAGCCTTTACATTTAATATATTCACTGATCATGTACTCTACCTTGGCAAATAAAGGTGTGGTTCAGGTAAGAATGTCTGTGAGACATTAGTTTTCAGTCATATCCAATACCAGGAGTATCAAACTCCAGTCTTTGATTGATGCTGTGTCTGCATGTATGTATTACAATTATACACTTCAACAGTGTTTACCAATCCTGGTCCTGGGACATCAATGGTTACACATTGTAACTATGCAATAGAGTACTAACATGATTTAACTAGTTAAAGGCTGATTTGTAATTCTTGAGTAAGTCCTTTAAACAGATCAACATTCACAAGGCCGCAGGGCCAGACGGATTACCAGGACGTGTACTCCGAGAATGCGCTGACCAACTGGCAAGTGACTTCACTGACATTTTCAACCGGTCCCTGACAGAGTCTGTAATACCTACATGTTTCAAGCAGACCACCATAGTCCCTGTAGAATTGGTAACACATTACGCCGTGAAGGACTGAAATCCTGCAGCGCCCGCAAGGTCCCCCTGCTAAAGAAAGCACATATACAGGCCCGTCTGAAGTTTGCCAATGAACATCTGAATGATTCAGAGGAGAACTGGGTGAAAGTGTTGTGGTCAGTTGAGACCAAAATCGAGCTCTTTGGCATCAACTCAACTCGCCGTGTTTGGAGGAGGAGGAATGCTGCCTATGACCCCAAGACACCATCCCCACCGTCAAACATGGAGGTGGAAACATTATGCTTTGGGGGTGTTTTTCTGCTAAGGGGACAGGACAACTTCACCGCATCAAAGGGACGAGGGACGGGGCCATGTACCGTCAAATCTTGGGTGAGAACCTCCTTCCCTCAGCCAGGGCATTGAAAATGGGTCGTGGATGGGTATTCCAGCATGACAATGACCCAAAACACACGGCCAAGGCAAAAAAACGGTTGTCGCTCAAGAAGAAGCACATTAAGGTCCTGGAGTGGCCTAGCCAGTCTCCAGAACTTAATCCCATAGAAAATCTGTGGAGGGAGCTGAAGGTTTGAGTTGCCAAACGTCAGCCTCGAAACCTTAATGACTTGGAGAAGATCTGCAAAGAGGAGTGGGACAAAATCCCTCCTGAGATGTGTGCAAACCTGGTGGCCAACTACAAGAAACGTCTGACCTCTGTGATTGCCAACAAGGGTTTTGCCACCAAGTACTAAGTAATGTTTTGCAGAGGGGTCAAATACTTATTTCCCTCATTAAAATGCAAATCAATTTATAACATTTTTGACTTGCGTTTTTCTGGATTTTTTGGTTGTTATTCTGTCTCTCACTGTTAAAATAAACCTACCATTCAAATTATAGACTGATCATGTCTTTGTCAGTGGGCAAACGTACAAAATCAGCAGGGGATCAAATACTTTTTTCCCTCACTGTAGTCATAGTCAAGCATGGTCCTTGGTAGCGCATGCAACTCCAGGATAGTGTGTTTGATTCCTGGGACCGTCCATACATGTCTGATAAATGGCATATAACACTATTATTATAAATTAGATTTTTTATTTTTTTATTTCACCTTTATTTAACCAGGTAAACCAGTTGAGAACAAGTTCTTATTTACAACTGCGACCTGGCCAAGATAAAGCAAAGCAGTGCGATAAAAACAACAACACAGAGTTACATATGGGGTAAAACAAAACAAAGTAAAAAAAAATACAACAGAAATAAATATATATACAGATCATTTCACATCTTTTACAGTCTTTTAAACCTCTGACAGACTGGGTTCACTGGCCTCATCTTCCTCATTCTTCGTCGTCTCCTTGTTCTTCTTCATTAAGGGTTCTGCATTACTGACGTCCAACGCTCCTGTTTAAATGGATGAGAGACAGGACTTGAAACAGAACCGTCTAACACATCACATGAACACACTCAACTAAGTATGTGTTTCACATCCCTGGACTGGTGAAATCTACTATGTAGTCAAGTCCTCTGTTTAACCTATTGACCATGTAGACCAGTGGTCACCAACCTTTTCTGAGTCAAGATCACTTTGAGTGAAAAAGCAAGCCGAGATCTAACCCTCAGATTCTCTTTTAAACATGACTGAAAAAACATAAGCAACATTAACCAATTAAAAACTGTTCTGTAGCAATGAGGTTTGTGCAGTAGGCAAGAAGTCCAATACATTATCACTGCATATTGGCTATGCTTGGATTTCCCTGCCAATCTTGTTCTTCTCAGACCACTTAGAAATTATATTTTTATAAATGTGGTATATGATCACACTGGTAATAGATCATTTGTTGTATTATTTGTGAGGCACAGCTAAGTGAGAATAATAATTAGCTTTTTTTTTTACTGCACTGATGACCTTCATCTGATGGTCAGTCTGAGGGGAGGGAGAGAGCAGCGGTGAGGCTGACTGATGACCTGTATCTGATGGTCAGTCTGAGGGGAGGGAGAGAGCAGAGGTGAGGCTGACTGATGGCCTGTATCTGATGGTCAGTCTGAGGGGAGGGAGAGAGCAGTGGTGAGGCTGACTGATGACCTTCATCTGATGGTCAGTCTGAGGGGAGGGAGAGAGCAGTGGTGAGGCTGACTGATGACCTGTATCTGATGGTCAGTCTGAGGGGAGGGAGAGAGCAGTGGTGAGGCTGACTGATGACCTGTATCTGATGGTCAGTCTGAGGGGAGGGAGAGAGCAGTGGTGAGGCTGACTGATGACCTGTATCTGATGGTCAGTCTGAGGGGAGGGAGAGAGCAGTGGTGAGGCTGACTGATGACCTGCATCTGATGATGATCTATATATATATATATATATATATTATTATTTTTTGCTCCTGAACTACTTCTACTCTCAACCTCTCCAATCATTTTCATGATGTCCATCCGGTTTGCATCTATATGCCATATCTTTCTAACTGTGCTCTTTCACAAAAGCTCCCAACATACAACCTATATACTTATTATGGACACAGTATGCTTACATTATTAGCTATCTTTGTTATTATTTGTTGTTATTTGTATCAACTTTGCTGTGCGTTAGAGGCTTTGTTTTAAACCTATGGCTCGAAGATACTGTGCAGACACGGTGATCTGAGCTATCTGATTGGCCAGTGGTCGGCCTATAGGAGCACTTGATTTGCTCTCTGGACCGGCCGGGTAGGCAGAGTTCTACCTTCAGACAAATGAAATGGGAACACTTTTCCTTCCCGGCACCAGGGCTGCTGAATCAAGTGGACCTACTGCAAACAGCACCAAAAAATTAAAATAAATAGGAACACAAGGCTTTATCGTTGTTTTTTTTACAGAAATGTTTGGTGATCGACTAGGAATGTCTTGGAGATGGAGCAGTCAATCGCGATCGACTGGTTGGTGACCACTGATGTAGACAGACATGAATTACCTCTCTCTTTAGGTTGTTTTATATAGCGCAATTAGACCTCCACCAGATGACACTACCACACCAGGAAGTAACTCCCATGACTTACGTTTCTCCATGCTGATGGTCAATATCCCTTTTCTTATCAACAGGTAGAGACCTCCAACTCCAACAAGAGCTGTGACTCCAGCTGCAACAAGACCTGTCAGCCACAAGGACTGGCACTGCGTAGGAAACATTTGATCTGAAACACAGGATGTAGAATTATTACAATACCTAATGCGTATTACACATGAAATGACTTAAACAACAGGACATTTTTTACCGATAGTGCCTTCTTTCAAATATCCAAAACAGACCCTCACCTGGAATATGAACCCGTCTCTCCTTCATGTGTTTGATCTCCGGCTGTTGAACCCGACAGGTGAACGTGTTGTTGTCCGTTTTCGGGACGATGACATGGCTTGTCACAGTGTAGCAGCCTTCACGGTCTCTGGATGTCTCTGGAGGTCCAGCAGCAGGGAGGACACGTCCATGAACGTCACACCACTCCATGACAGGCTCTGGGTAGCAGCCTTCAGCCTCACAGCGCAGGACCACCTCATCACCTTTGATTCCTTCAATGGTGATAACTGGTCGAGACGCTGCACCTATAGAGATACAGAGATATACCACGGCTCTCAGCCAATCAGCATTCAGGGCTCAAACCACCTTGATAACTGGTCGAGACGCTGCACCTATAGAGATACAGAGATATACCACGGCTCTCAGCCAATCAGCATTCAGGGCTCAAACCACCTTGTTTATAATGTTATACCACGGGTATGACAATAAAATAATTACGTTGGTAACCAGTTTATAATAGCAATAAGGCAACTCAGGGTTTGTGGTATGTGGTCAATATCCCACGGCTAATGGCTATATCCAGGTTGCGTCGTGCATAAGAACAGACCTTAGCCGTGGTATATTGGACATATGACACACCCCCTCGTGACTTATTGCTTAAATATAACAAGGGTTTGCTGATACTTATGGACCTTTAAATTCAAAAAGTAACTTCCAATGACTCACAGCATTGTACATTGAATTAGCTGGGGTTATCACACTATTAAGGTTAGTATGTAGGCTAACCAATCTATCTAACTAATACTCATCAGGCAATGGACTTGACATTGAACTCACCCTTGATTTCATGTGATCTGTCTCTTAAGGGGGATTGGGTGGTCGGCAGGTGTGTTGACTCACCAACAATGAGTTGAATGGTGGTTTTCTGGTGGTCCAACAGTGGAATGTAACAGGTGTAGTTTCCAGCATCAGAGAGTTCCACTCTGGTCAGCTTTAAACTAGCGTTGCCTTCCACTAGTTCTTCTTTAAACAGTGACGTCCTTCCCCTGAATGATGGATTCTGGAGCGCAAGGTGTCTCTAGCGGTGTCTCCTAACCAGCCTTGGGCCCCCAGTCGGTTATCTTAAGAGGGCCCCCAGTTGGGCCCCCAGTCGGTTATCTTAAGAGGGCCCCCAGTTGGGCCCCCAGTTGGTTATCTTAACATTTACATTTTTTTTTTACATTTACGTCATTTAGCAGACGCTCTTATCCAGAGCGACTTACATTATTTTTTTTTCCATACCCCCTGTGGGAATCGAACCCACAACCCTGGCGTTGCAAACACCATGCTCTATCAACTGAGCTACATCCCTGCCGGCCATTCCCTCCCCTACCCTGGACGACGCTGGGCCAATTGCGCGCCGCCCCATGGGTCTCCCGGTCACGGCCGGCTACGACAGAGCCTGGATTCGAACCAGGATCTCTAGTGGCACAGCTAGCACTGCGATGCAGTGCCTTAGACCACTGCGCCACTCAGGAGACTATAGTCTCCTGTAGAGATTGGGGCGGCGATACTGTAGAGATTAAGCAGTTGGAGGACTTATGAAACCCGTACGAGTCTTGGTCAAACACGTCATAGCACGCTGGTCTGTTCACATAAAAACAGGACACTGCCTAGGTTGGGGTCCCCTTCCACAAGATGCCACCAATACCAACTTCCTCTGCTGCACCCAACTCTACTGAGAATGTGTTATAAACCTATCAACTCGCTATCAACCCAGTTGGGCCCCCAGTCGGTTATCTTAAGAGGGCCCCCAGTTGGGCCCCCAGTCGGTTATCTTAAGAGGGCCCCCAGTTGGGCCCCCAGTTGGTTATCTTAAGAGGGCCCCCAGTTGGGCCCCCAGTCGGTTATCTTAAGAGGGCCCCCAGTTGGGCCCCCAGTCGGTTATCTTAAGAGGGCCCCCAGTTGGGCCCCCAGTCGGTTATCTTAAGAGGGCCCCCAGTTGGGCCCCCAGTCGGTTATCTTAAGAGGGCCCCCAGTTGGGCCCCCAGTCGGTTATCTTAAGAGGGCCCCCAGTTGGGCCCCCAGTCGGTTATCTTAAGAGGGCCCCCAGTTGGGCCCCCAGTTGGTTATCTTAAGAGCGGGTGAGGTGGTGATGAGTTAGCAACTCATTTGAGTTAGCTTGCACTGTAACGTTAACTAGTTAGCTAATAATACGTTTTTTTGTTGTTGTTATATATAAGTTCTCCCAGCCATGTGGACGATTGGAAACAGGGCAGCAAAGTTTGTTTGTCACCAGTGCGGTTTAGAGCATATTACTATTTACCTGTGAATAAATTAATGAAATGGAGAATGGATTAAACTATTTACCCATTTAATAACCGGACCTTCATACAAACTTGCTATGCTGAATTCTTGACACACAATCAGGGTTGCCTGGTCAGGAAACATTTCCAGCCCAATGACCACTCAAATTGCCCGAAAGGCCTGAAAAACAAGCCCCATTTTGTTTTCGCATCAAGAGGGGCCATATTTATACAATAAACCATTTTTCCATAACGTTATCGAGCCAATTAAGAAGCTTCTAATAGTCTTCTTAGACCCTTATTATGACACCATCTCTAATAACCCATTATACACACATACAACTTGGTAACCCTCATATATGCAAACCGATTATACATTCAGTATTATAATACTGCAGGCTATCCAGTTCCTACTTGCAGGCTATCCAATTTCTACTTGCAGGCTATCCAATTCCTACTTGCAGGCTATCCAATTCCTACTTGCAGGCTATCCAATTCCTACTTGCAGGCTATCCAATTCCTACTTGCAGGCTATCCAATTCCTTCTTGCAGGCTATCCAATTCCTACTTGCAGGCTATCCAGTTCCTACTGCAGGCTATCCAATTCCTACTTGCAGGCTATCCAATTCCTACTTGCAGGCTATCCAATTCCTACTTGCAGGCTATCCAATTCCTACTGCAGGCTATCCAATTCCTACTTGCAGGCTATCCAATTCCTACTTGCAGGCTATCCAATTCCTTCTTGCAGGCTATCCAATTCCTTCTTGCAGGCTATCCAATTCCTACTTGCAGGCTAACCAAATTCCTTCTTGCAGGCTAACCAAATTCCTTCTTGCAGGCTATCCAATTCCTTCTTGCAGGCTATCCAGTTTCTACTTGCAGGACATCCAGTTCCTACTTGCAGGCTATCCAATTCCTGCTAATAGACTGGTCCAACAGTATATTTCAAGTGATTATAGGCAAACCAATTCCTAATATTGGAGACACCAATGTGCTCCCATTGATCAAGGTTAACTGGTCAGATTCATTATTATAGGGAAATAGTTCTGCCAAATTGAACGCCATGGATTACAGGAAACATCCGCACTGAGCTAAAGGGTAGAGCTGCCGCTTTCAAGGAACGGGACTCTAACCCGGACGCTTATAAGAAATCCCGCTATGACCTCCGACGAACCATCAAACAGGCAAAGAGTCAATACAGGTCTAAGATTGAATCATACTACACTGGCTCTGACGCTCGTCAGATGTGGCAGGGCTTGAAAACTATTACAGACTACAAAGGGAAGCACAGCCGCGAGCTGCCCAGTGACACAAGCCTACCAGACGAGCTAAACCACTTCTATGCTCGCTTCGAGGCAAGCAACACTGAGGCATGCATGAGAGCACCAGCTGTTCCGGATGACTGTGTGATCACGCTCTCCGTGGCCGATGTGAGTAAGACTTTTAAGCAGGTCAACATTCACAAGGCCGCAGGGCCAGACGGATTACCAGGACGTGTACTCCGAGCATGTGCTGACCAACTGGCAAGTGTCTTCACTGACATTTTCAACATGTCCCTGACTGAGTCTGTAATACCAACATGTTTCAAGCAGACCACCATAGTCCCCGTGCCCAAGAACTCTAAGATAACCTGCCTAAATGACTACCGACCCGTAGCACTGACGTCTGTAGCCATGAAGTGCTTTGAAAGACTGGTCATGGCTCACATCAACAGCATAATCCCAGAAACCCTAGACCCACTCCAATTTGCATACCGCCCCAACAGATCCACAGATGATGCAATCTCTATCGCACTCCACACTGCCCTTTCCCACCTGGACAAGAGGAACACCTACGTGAGAATGCTATTCATTGACTACAGCTCAGCATTCAACACCATAGTGCCCTCTAAGCTCATCACTAAGCTAAGGATCCTGGGACTAAACACCTCCCTCTGCAACTGGATCCTGGACTTCCTGACGGGCCGCCCCCAGGTGGTAAGGGTAGGTAACAACACATCTGCCACACTGATCCTCAACACGGTGGCCCCTCAGGGGTGCGTGCTCAGTCCCCTCCTGTACTCTCTGTTCACCCATGACTGCATGGCCAGGCACGACTCCAACACCATCATTAAGTTTGCCGACGACACAACAGTGGTAGGCCTGATCACCGACAACGATGAGACAGCCTATAGGGAGGAGGTCAGAGATCTGGCCGTGTGGTGCCAGGACAACAACCTCTCCCTCAACGTGACCAAGACAAAGGAGATGATTGTGGACTACAGGAAAAAAAAGAGGACTGAGCACGCCCCCATTCTCATCGACGGGGCTGTAGTGGAACAGGTTGAGAGCTTCAAGTTCCTTGGTGTCCACATCACCAACGAACTATCATGGTCCAAACACACCAAGACAGTCGTAAAGAGGACACGACAAAGCCTATTCCCCCTCAGGAGACTAAAAAGATTTGGCATGGGTCCTCAGATCCTCAAAAAATTATACAGCTGCACCATCGAGAGCATCCTGACTGGTTGCATCACCGCCTGGTATGGCAACTGCTTGGCCTCTGACCGCAAGGCACTACAGAGGGTAGTGCGTACGGCCCAGTACATCACTGGGGCAAAGCTCCCTGCCATCCAGGACCTCTATACCAGGCGGTGTCAGAGGAAGGCCCTCAAAATTGTCAAAGACTCCAGCCACCCTAGTCATAGACTGTTCTCTCTGCTACCGCACGGCAAGCGGTACCGGAGTGCCAAGTCTAGGTCCAAAAGACTTCTCAACAGCTTCTACCCCCAAGCCATAAGACTCCTGAACAGCTAATCATGGCTACCCGGACTATTTGCACTGGCCCCCCACCCCATCCTTTTTACGCTGCTGCTACTCTGTTAAGTATTTATGCATAGTCACTTTAACTCTACCCACATGTACATATTACCTCAACTACCTCAACTAGCCGGTGCCCCCGCACATTGACTCTGCAACGGTACCCCGCTGTATATATAGCCTCCCTACTGTCACTTTATTTTACTGTATATATAGCCTCCCTACTGTCACTTTATTTTACTTCTGCTCTTTTTTCTCAACACTTTTTTTGTTGTTGTTTATTCTTACTTTTTTTGTTTAAAATAAATGCACTGTTGGTTAAGGGCTGTAAGTAAGCATTTCATTGCAATGTCTGCACCTGTTGTATTCGGCGCATGTGACCAATAAAATTTGATTTGATTTGATTTGATTTGATACCTCCGCCTTTGTGCAAGGAGGAGAAGGAGGAGCACTGCCAGAGCCCTGCAAAATGACCTCCAGCAGGCCACAAATGTGCATGTGTCTGCTCAAACGGTCAGAAACAGACTCATGTGTGACAGAGTCTGGAGACGCCGTGGAGAACGTTCTGCTGCCTGCAACATCCTCCAGCATGACCGGTTTGGCGGTGGGTCAGTCATGGTGGGGGTGGCATTTCTTTGGGGGGCCGCACAGCCCTCCATGTGCTCGCCAGAGGTAGCCTGACTGTCATTAGGTACCGAGATGAGATCCTCAGACCCCTTGTGAGACCATATGCTGTTGCGGTTGGCCCTGGGTTCCTCCTAATGCAAGACAATGCTTAATGCAAGCCTTAATGGTGAAAGACCTCTGTGAGGGACTGTCTGTTTTTCAGCCAAGCCTTAATGGTGAAAGATCTCTTGTCCTCCTCATCCACAAAATGATGGCGTTCAATTTGGCAGAACTACACTGCTCAAAAAAATAAAGGGAACACTTAAACAACACAATGTAACTCCACTCGTAGTGTCCAGAGCATGGAGGTGCTACCAGGAGACAGGCCAGTACATCAGGAGACATGGAGGAGGCCGTAGGAGGGCAACAACCCAGCAGCAGGACCGCTACCATGGATTACAGGAAGCCATGGATCACCATTAAGGCTGAAAAACAGACAGTCCCTCACAGAGATCTCTCACCATTAAGGCTTGGCTGAAAAACAGACAGTCCCTCACAGAGATCTCTCACCATTAAGGCTTGGCTGAAAAACAGACAGTCCCTCACAGAGATCTCTCACCATTAAGGCTTGGCTGGAAAACAGACAGTCCCTCACAGAGAGGTCTCTTACATTTTTTAAGTAGTGGCCAGAGGGATGTCCGAGTCCATCCGGGTCACAGCACCAAATGTTGTGGAAATTAAGATCCAAAGATGAAGGCAGAGATTATTTAATTGTATAATAGAAAAATCTTTAATCAAGCAGCTGCAGGGGAGATTATTTTGATTTCACAGGGAAGAATTTAAAGAATAAATGGTTACATGTCCCTTATATAGTGGGAGGTGATAATACAATCATATTGTTAACACAACAGTTATTTTATACAAGCAACAGTTCCAGAACACAATGGCCTTGTGTCAGGGTGCAGATACACCAGGAGTCTATGAAAGGCATAACATCACCGTCCAACACAGAACATATCCCTTGAGAAGTTACAACAGCTCACCGCAAATTATGGCACCACACTAGCTTTCACTCAAATGTGAGGGGCTGATGCTCATTGGCTAGGGGGTGAAATGTAGGGAGGGCAGTAATTCTGCATGTATGAACTACACATTGACACATCCAGCCCAAAGCAGGAGGTTAAAAAAATACGTTCTTTGTCGCCAAAGTAACAGAACATGTTTTTAACATTTATAAAGAACATTCAAAAAAAATTTAGCATAGAATTGTAAAGATTCCTCACTATGGAAGAATTTCTTCCAAGAGAATCTTCCAACTCAGGAGGATGGGTTAGGGGTATTGGTTGGGTTAAGAACTCTTGGACACCTATTTGGGAACACCTGGACACTACCACCTTTTTTCAACTTGTTTTCGAGTGCTCCCAAGCTTTCAGTTCTCAATGTTTTCCCTTCCCCCTCCTTCTGGTTCTCACCCCAGTGTGCTTTGGCCACCCACTGTCCCTGGTTGTTTTTACAGCAGTAGGCTGTCCACAGGAGAGATGGGATGTTCACTCGGTTCTTCAGTGTTTTGTGTTCACTGGGCACTGCTCCAGTCACCACATAGGCGTTTATCTTCCCGGTCCTGCTATTAATACAGTCCTTCTGAAGCATTTCAGAGACACTCCTCTCCATTGTGTTCCAGCTGCCACTGTTGAAGGACACCACCTGGTGAACGATGTTGGTCAAGGTAAAGGTGGACTTCTGAGTTTCAAGGTCATGCGCATGTGAACTTGGAAAGAGGTGACCTCTGTTCACCCCTTTTTCTTTTGAGTCCATATAGTCGTTGTTCTCAGCCTGGTATTGATGATCCACCATCATTTCAGGGTTGTTGTTGAGCTGCAAGAAATGTGGGTGGTTGACCTTCTCAATGACACGGTTATCACAGTAGAAACAGCCTTATCTCACACACACACACTTTCTTTATTCTACCATTTAACAACCCTTTCATACAATCCAATCATACATTCATTCACAACTTTTCTGTACAATAAACACTCTTTTTTTTTGGGGGGGGGGGGGGGGTTACGATCCACAATCAAGACAGTCAATCAAGTCTCTATACCCTCTATAGTGGTAGTTCTATATTCTGTTAACATTACTGCTATATATCACAGACAGTTAACATATACAAATGTTGTGTTATATGACAAAACATTAAGCCTACCTGGGGCTCGATCATCCAGGGTGGATTTGGTCTGTTGTCCGTAGGAGGACCGGTGAAGGTGTAGGCTGAGAACACAGGGATCTTGTTGGTCGTGTCGTAGAGAGTTGCAAACCTGTATTCGCTTTTGTACTTCTGGCAAATCGGTTTGTAGCGGTTCTGGTCCTGGACTTTGCCACCAACCAAAATACCTGGGATATTTGGAGTTGTTCTCTCCACGAAGAACTTTTCACAATCTTTAACTTCGCTGAACTTCCCCACTACATGAGAGAGAGAAGGAGGAAGGAGAGAGAGGAGGAGGAGAGTAGAGAGATGATTCAATACCTCCATCATCACCTGAAGACTGGACACCACAGAGACAAAGATGAAGTTACAGAGACCAGTTGGTAGACTGGAGCCTGCTGAGCTGAGACAAGACAGACTGCTTTAAATAGGTTTTCAGAGACTCCTCCTTCAGACGTCAAGACAGATAGGGTTGATTTGCATAAACTCCTCTGTATGGTTACATGGAAACTGCTGTAACAAATAAAATGTGACTCAACTTCTGTAGATTCTAACACGTATGGACCCAGAACCTAATTATGCAAGATTTTAGTTCTGGGTTAACAAGATTAGACTGCTCTAAAAAGTGACTGCATCCACACTTTGGTTTTGGTAGAAAAACATTCCTTTACTCAGCATAGCGTGGGTCAGAAGTTACGCATCACATTATTCCAACAGTGGGACGGTTTTGGAATTACGGTTGCTGAGTTCAAATTCATTAATATCCCACAAGGCTTAGCGCCGCTGACTCAGCAACTCAAAGAAGTAACACTTGCATTTCCCTTGACCAGCAAGTAAAAATATTTAGTATGATGTCTCATAAAGGCCTCACATTCATTACAGATATCTATACAACTGAATGAAATGGAGGAAGATGAATACAACTGAATGAAATGGAGGAAGATGTATACAACTGAATGAAATGGAGGAAGATGTTTACAACTGAATGAAATGGAGGAAGATGTTTACAACTGAATGAAATGGAGGAAAATGTTTACAACTGAATGAAATGGAGGAAAATGTTTACAACTGAATGAAATGGAGGAAAATGTTTACAACTGAATGAAATGGAGGAAGATGTTTACAACTGAATGAAATGGAGGAAGATGTTTACAACTGAATGAAATGGAGGAAGATGTTTACAACTGAATGAAATGGAGGAAGATGTTTACAACTGAATGAAATGGAGGAAGATGTTTACAACTGAATGAAATGGAGGAAGATGTTTACAACTGAATGAAATGGAGGAAGAAATCAAATGTCAATCAACTTTCCATCTCTGAGTTAGCCTCTAACACGCTAACTGGAACCAGAAGATGCCATATAATGGATGTTTCATTTCTATGTGTTGTTTAGCTTGGTGTATTCTGTGGTCTGACCACGGCTGAGTTTATTTCCAGTAACTGAAGTAGTTCACAGTAAGAGTTGACACAGGTCTGAGTAGAGTTAGGGTTAGATGTGCTTCCTAACAACAATGTGGTCAGAGCAGCGCTGGACTGATTAACCCCTCAGCAGCTGTAGATTCTTCAGTTGAGGAGGCCTTTTCTCAGTAAGAGTAGGGGAGACTGGGGAACAAAGTAACACTTTTAGGCTTTTGCTTATTATGAAAATATTATTTGAGATAGATTAATAATATTTTTATGCAAACAACATGCATATCTCGGCTACGATTACACACTAAGTATGTTCCTAGGATATACCAGTCGTTTACAATTCAACAAAGTGGTTAATTAATTAATTAAATGTTACAATTGGCGAATGTAGGTGAATGTTACACAGGTTAACAAGTAAAAATATATATATATATATTTACTTTAGGGCCTCAAAACCATTTTTTTTTAAATTCAATAAAACTAAAAGTAATGAATGGATTTAAACAAAACCTCTTGGGCATGTAGAGACACTAACCAAGCATTAGCACCTTGAATAAGAGCTTTAAGTGGTTTCTAATTGGAGTTATTTAGCGGTTACAACTGACCCTGTGTTACTATGTTCCCCAGGCTACCCTACCTTCATGTAGAATATTTAAAGTGACTGATTTGCTAAAGTAAAACATTTGTAACTTCTTCAACTACCATAGAAATGTCAAAGAGCTGAAGCAGGTCATACTTTTTTACTTAATCTAAAATTACTTTTCTAGTTGTAATTTAAACGGTGTGGATATTTATTTGCTAATTGTTCACATAAAGTGTTGCCTTGAATGTTGGCTTGTATGACGTATGATATACTATGAATCAATGTCTTATTTCATGACACTACAGAAATCCTTTGTTTCAAGGAAACATTATATGCATTAACTCATGACTGTGGGGAGGAGTGCCATTTTCTGTCCAATGAGGTCATTTCTGGACAATATTTCTGCAAGTAAAATTATGGTTCTACTTTGGAATGGGGAGCCCACAGCCAATAGAGGATTTTATCCAACCCAACCATCCTGGTCCAGTCTTGACCACTAATTATACCAGACAGGACTCATCTTCTCCCAGATATCATCACAGAAAAGTTCATCATTTAGTTAGATAATGTTTACCCAGTGGCATCCTGAAGCATGATTGATACATGTATTATGTATTATGTACTGATACTGCTACATACATGTTGAATAAAAGCATGCTAACGTTACTGTACTGAAGCCTGCATCACGTGCACACGATTTCACAAACTTTATCACAACTTCACAGACGTCTTATACCATACAACAAAGCACGAATTGAAGCGATAGTATGCATTAAAAATAGCTACGATTGTAAAAGTATTATTGAAAATGCAGACAAGTGGTGGCTGATTCTAGCGGCAGCTACCGATGATGCTGAAACCAATACTCCGTGTATCAGACGTAGATGACACCAGAGATAGAAGTGTTTAATAATGTTTTCAATTCGCTTTTCCATTCTTACAACTTCACAGATGTAGCGAAAACATTACAATCGATTTCATTCAAGCTTGTAAAATATACTTACTCTGTAACTCTCTCTCCGTGTGATGGAAACATTGATCCGATGCGGGGAAAGTGTCATGGCCGCAGTTAGTTTTTTGAAAATGTTAGTTGGGGCCGAATGTAAAGTCAAAGGGCGAATATAATTGGACTAAACGTAAATCGGGCGATGGTCGTTGGATACGGAAAGCTTTTTCTTCAAAAAAGCTTTTGACTCAATTTGGCATGAGGGTCCGCTATAGAAATTGATGGAAAGTGGTGTTGGGGGGAAAAACATACGACATAAAATCCATGTACACAAACAACAAGTGTGCGGTTAAAATTGGCAAAAAACACACACATTTCTTTCCACAGGGCCATGGGGTGAGACAGGGATGCAGTTTAAGCACCACCCTCTTCAACATATACAGTGGGGGAACAAAAGTATTTAGTCAGCCACCAATTGTGCAAGTTCTCCCACTTAAAAAGATGAGAGAGGCCTGTAATTTTCATCATAGGTAAACGTCAACTATGACAGACAAAATGAGAAAAAAAATCCAGAAAATCACGTTGTAGGATTTTTTATGAATTTATTTGCAAATTATGGTGGAAAATAAGTATTTGGTCACCTAAAAACAAGCAAGATTTCTGGCTCTCACAGACCTGTAACTTCTTCTTTAAGAGGCTCCTCTGTCCTCCACTCGTTACCTGTATTAATGGCACCTGTTTGAACTTGTTATCAGTATGAAAGACACCTGTCCACAACCTCAAACAGTCACACTCCAAACTCCACTATGGCCAAGACCAAAGAGCTGTCAAAGGACACCAGAAACAAAATTGTAGATCTGCACCAGGCTGGGAAGACTGAATCTGCAATAGGTAAGCAGCTTGGTTTGAAGAAATCAACTGTGGGAGCAATTATTAGGAAATGGAAGACATACAAGACCACTGATAATCTCCCTCGATCTGGGGCTCCACGCCCCAGATCTCACCCCGTGGGGTCAAAATGATCACAAGAACGGTGAGCAAAAATCCCAAAACCACACGGGGGGACCTAGTGAATGACCTGCAGAGAGCTGGGACCAAAGTAACAAAGCCTACCATCAGTAACACACTACGCCGCCAGGGACTCAAATCCTGCAGTGCCAGACATGTCCCCCTGCTTAAGCCAGTACATGTCCAGGCCCGTCTGAAGTTTGCTAGAGTGCATTTGGATGATCCAGAAGAGGATTGGGAGAATGTCATATGGTCAGATGAAACCAAAATATAACTTTTTGGTAAAAACTCAACTCGTCGTGTTTGGAGGACAAAGAATGCTGAGTTGCATCCAAAGAACACCATACCTACTGTGAAGCATGGGGGTGGAAACATCATGCTTTGGGGCTGTTTTTCTGCAAAGGGACCAGGACAACTGATCCGTGTAAAGGAAAGAATGAATGGGGCCATGTATCGTGAGATTTTGAGTGAAAACCTCCTTCCATCAGCAAGGGCATTGAAGATGAAACGTGGCTGGGTCTTTCAGCATGACAATGATCCCAAACACACCGCCCGGGCAACGAAGGAGTGGCTTCGTAAGAAGCATTTCAAGGTCCTGGAGTGGCCTAGCCAGTCTCCAGATCTCAACCCCATAGAAAATCTATGGAGGGAGTTGAAAGTCTGTGTTGCCCAGCGACAGCCCCAAAACATCACTGCTCTAGAGGAGATCTGCATGGAGGAATGGGCCAAAATACCAGCAACAGTGAGTGAAAACCTTGTGAAGACTTACAGAAAACGTTTGACCTGTGTCATTGCCAACAAAGGGTATATAACAAAGTATTTTGTTATTGACCAAATACTTATTTTCCACCATAATTTGCAAATAAATTCATAAAAAATCCTACAATGTGATTTTCTGGATTTTTTTTTCTCATTTTGTCTGTCATAGTTGACGTGTACCTATGATGAAAATTACAGGCCTCTCTCATCTTTTTAAGTGGGAGAACATGCACAATTGGTGGCTGACTAATAATAATAATGGTATCCAGCGCCGGAGAAGATGGCTGCCGTTTTACAGCCCTCTAACCAATTGTACTATTATGTGTGTTTTTCCGCGTTATTTGTAATTTATTTTGTACATAATGTTTCTGCCATCGTCTCTTATAACCAAAAATAGCTTCTGGATATCAGGACAGCGATTACTCACCTCTCATTGGACGAAGATTTTTTCTTCAACGAGGCGGTCGCGATGGATATCCTACAGACACCCGACAAGGCCCAGATCCCCGTCATTCGCGTGAGGAAGAGACGGAGATATCGCGGACGCAGATCCGGGTGCCTTGTAAGGATCCGACGGCGAGCGAGTAAACTGCCTCTCCCATCAATCCTATTAGCCAACGTT